TATCTCACAGTTTCCTCTTTATTCAAATCCATGTCGTAAGATTTATTTTAATCCTGCTAGTGTCTTCAAACTTCTACAGTTCTGGTTTAAATAGTCAGTGAATTCCAGTCTCTTTGGAATTTTGATTCATTGTTCTTTTGTTCTCTGCTCCGGCTATCCAGAACCCTCCATTTCATTCATCCTTGTGGGGATAGCATAATCCATCAGTTTATCCTTCTTCCATCTGTAAATTCCATTCTCAAATCAATTCTTAAACACTTTTTATTTTGAAAAATGTAGCATTTTAGTCTGAATTTTCCCTAATATGCACATTCTTTTTTTGCAAAGCAATGTTCCCTAATATATCACACTTTTGAATATTGTTTTCTACAATATATCCATATATATGCACACTTCCCACAAGTGTATGCACTTTTTTTATTGATTGTATTGTTGGAGAGTGAATGTTTTTCATAGGTCTGATTTTTGAGATTCCCCCCTCCCATTTAATGTTTTTTCCTCTGTAATAAAAAGATTTTGTGCTTCTGCACAACCATGCCTGCTAAAAAACAACAACTCCATCTCATAGGTGTAAGGTGACATTTTGGCTTCATAATCAATGGTTGTTGTTGTTGTTTAGTCGTTTAGTCGTGTCCAACTCTTCGTGACCCCATGGACCAGAGCACACCAGGCACTCCTGTCCTCCACTGCCTCCCGCAGTTTGGTCAAACTCATGTTGGTCTCTTTGAGAACACTTTCCCACCATCTCGTCCTCTGTCGTCCCCTTCTCCTTGTGCCCTCCATCTTTCACAACATCAGGGTTAGGGTTAGGTTTTTTTTTGCTCCCCCCCTTGCTTTTTAAGATGCTGCCTAGTAATCAATGGTACTCATGCCTGAAACTTGGAAATAGATGTTATCATATGTGGTGGTCATGCAGAATAGCTAAGGATTATTGGGAAATGATTTATAATGAGATGAAAAAAAATGTTTAAAAGACCCCCCCCCCAAAAAAAAATCCCAGAGGCATTCCTTTTAGGAATAGTGCAGACAGACATCCCCAGAGGCCATTAAAAAAATATTTATGTACACAACTACACCAACTTGGATTTTGCTAGCCCAAAAAAGGAGAGTGAGAGATATTCAAAAAAGGAGGAAGCTTAAAATGATGGAGTGTGCAGAGTTAGCAGGTCTAACCAGCAGAATAAGAGAACAAGAAGACAGAGTCTATAAATAGGAATGGAAAATGTTTTTGGAATATCTAGAAAATAACTGTAAACAAGTGAACATGCTACCAGTGTTAAGCTAAATTCAACAGTATAAACCAGGCTGAGGTAATATGAAAAAGAGGAATAGAATATGCAGTCGTAATGGGAAAATTTAAAGAACCATGAAAGGAGGAAAAGGGAAGCTAACAAATGTATTATTTTATTGGTGGATATTCCGTGGTGGAAAATGTATAACGGAACAATTTAATAAAGTCGCTGTGGGTTAAACCACAGAGCCTAGGACTTGCCAATCAGGAGGTCGGCGGTTCAAATCCCTGCAACGGGGTGAGCTCCCGTTGCTCGGTCCCTGCTCCTGCCAACCTAGCAGTTTGAAAGCACATCAAAGTGCAAGTAGATAAATAGGTACCACTCTGGTGGGAAGGTAAACGGCGTTTCCGTGCACTGCTCTGGTTTGCCAGAAGCGGCTTAGTCATGCTGGCCACATGACCCGGAAGCTGTATGCCGGCTCCCTTGGCCAATAAAGTGAGATGAGTGCCACAACCCCAGAGTCGGTCACGACTGGACCTGATGGTCAGGGGTCCCTTTACCTTTACTATTAAAAAAAGAAACTTGGAAATAGAGGGAACTGCGCCTTTTAATTTGCTTTTATTGCAAAGGAGAAGCTTGTGTACTCATTAAAAATGTTGCAAAGGCTTCCTTTTTTTGGTTCAAATGCTCTGGTGAATAAGCAGAAGACGTCTCCAGTCAGGGATGAAACAGGATCCAGTGGCTTTTGAAAGGAGGAAGCACCTCTCGTTTTTCACAGATTCCTGGGTAATCAGGCAGCACTCAACAGCATACGTACTTACTTAAAAACAAAGAAAAAGAAAACCCAAGGGTTAGTTCATAGCAAAGAACTTCATAGCAAAGCCAAACGGTTGACACATGGAAAAACAAAGGAAGTCATGTTGGTGCATAAGGTAAGGTAAAGGTAAAGGACCCCTGGATAGTTAAGTCCAGTCAGAGGCGACTCTGGGGTTGCGGCGCTCATCTCGCTTTCAGGCTGAGGGAGCCGGCGTTTGTCCACAGACAGCTGTCCGGGTCATGTGGACAGCAGGACTAAACCGCTTCTGGCACAATGGGACACCGTGACGGAAACCAGAGTGCACGGAAACGCCGTTTACCTTCCCACCACAGCGGTACCTATTTATCTACTTGCGCTAGTATGCTTTCGAACTGCTAGGTTGGAATAATAAACATTCCCAAACCCATCGTTTGGTACGGATGGGTGGCGGTCAATTTCAGCTCCTCATTTTCCCAATGTTAAGTTCAGTTCTTCATCTCAGTTTGCAAGTTATTATTATTATTATTATTATTATTAAACGCCTCGAGAAAATTCGTCGGGATTTTAGTGCAAATTTCTCCCACTGTGTTTGTATGCAAGTGTGCCTCTTTGTGTACATCTCTCCACTCTTGTGCACTTTTGCACATGTTGCTTGACTAGGGAACGGTGCTGCAAAATTCAGAGAAATGTGAAATTCAAAGGATGGCTGAGTTTCAGTTTGTGTATTGCTTTGGACACTGGGAGTTAGGTAGGTTGCACCTTGGGTCTAAAAGAAATGGAAGAGGGAGAATTTAGGAGACTATTTAAATAATAAAACTATTTTCCATTATAAACTCATTATAAAGAATTATAAAGCCATTATAAATAAACACACTTATAAATAAACACACATGCAAACACACTTACCTTACGAAAGATTGTCAGCATGTAAATAAATGTATGGCTAATTCTGGCAAGCATCATAAACACTTTTCTTCAACTATCCCCCCATGCACAAAAGATTATTAGAGTTAGTCACAATAAAACTACTTTCTTAGTTCAGCAGGTCCCTCAGCCTAAATCCAAGATGGCAGAATTTCTGCGCGTGTAAAATCTGCAGTACTAACATAAAAGCACCGGGGAGGCAGAAGGAGGTAATCTTTAACACTGAATGAATGAATGAATGAACTTTACTACGGTAACAGACCAGGATTTTAGGTCTTATCTGTTTTAATTATTAGTTTTTTATCCATCCATTATCTGTGTTTAATCTTGTATTTTATTCGGATGTTTTATGCCTGTTTCCTTGTCCTCATTTGCCCTAACAATTATCGGTCAAAAAATCCTGACTGCTATTTTATCTATAAGCTTTTTTTAAATCCTGGTCTGTGACCGTAATCTTTAATACTGATACTAAACTGAAATAGAAATCCTGCCTTTCTCATTGACTCGCTTTTAGGAAATATTGTACAGGATTTTATTTAAGCTCTGACCTGGACTTCAGAGATTAGGAATGCTGGGTAAAAAACCCAATATGTTTCCTTGGGGAGAAATGAGGTTACAGGGAACCAGGCAGAGGGCCTTCTTGGTGGTGGCGCCCGCCCTGTGGAACGCGCTCCCATTGGATGTCAAGGAAATAAGCAGCTATCCTATCTTTAAAAGACATCTGAAGGCAGCCCTGTTTAGGAAAGCTTTTAATGTTTGACGCACTATTGTATTTTAATATTTTGTTGGAAGCCGCCCAGAGTGGCTGGGAAACCCAGCCAGGTGGGCGAGGTATAAATAATAAATTATTATATATTATTAAGTTTAGCGGAAATGACTAACTAGCAAAGATGATTAAGATGGCAGCCTGTTGTCGCTCAAATCCGATGAATGCTGGGAGTGAGACAGGGCAGAGGTGCAACTTTCGTCCAACAACCTTTGAGAACTTTTCTTTGGTGAGCTGTAGTTACCTTTTGCAACATGTCATGCGCTTTTTGCACACTCCAATCTTAAACATCTTCTTGGGACAGAAGGAATGGAGGCATTCTGCACGAGCAGCCCGGCATTGTAGATTATTATGCACTATGTACCTTGCATATCCTGCATAAATGGGGGGAGGGGGGGAATATCACTGTCTACTTTGGAGATTAAGGAAATTCAGAAGAGGAGAAAAGGGAGACACAAGTTCACCGGCTTTAGAAGGGAGGTGAGGGAATCCTGTGCCCCTCTGAGTGTTGTGGCAGTCCCATTACTCCAAAACCATTGGCTGCAGATGTTCACCATGGTCCCCACCCTCCCATTTTACAATCAGTTCATCATAAATGGGACAATCAAGAATGTCTTCATAGTACAGGCTGCTTCCTTCATGGTTCCAGCCAGCCACGCTCTCATCCAGGATAACTTCATTCCAATCTCCCTCCTCCCAGTTTTTTACACACACACACACACAGTGCCGGATTAGATTTACGTATGAGCTAAACAAGCTATAGCTTAGGGCCCCACTCTCTTGGGAACCCCCCCAAAAAACATTAAAGGAAAAAGACCTGGATTTACATTTCCAAAATATAAGATTAAAAAAGAAATAAAATAAAACCTACATCCAGCAACAGTGTTTTGTGTTGTGTAGGCTCCTATGATGTAAGTCATGGGCCCCGTCTGCTCGCCTGCTCCCTAAAATATCACTTGTTTTCTCATTTCTAGTTATATGGTGCCTACATTCTGCATGGACTGGTTACATGTGCAAATAGCTTTAGAGACCTATTAGGTCCATAAATCACCATACAGCATATATTCAACACACAAAAAACCAGTGACAATTTGTTGTTGACAAAGGACAGTTGGACATATAAAGGGCCCCATTACTTTCAGTAGCTTAGGGACTCATCAAACCTAAATCTGGCCCTACACACACCCACACACACCAATCAGCCTCATTAGACGGTGGGTTTATTTTTGGGTGGCGTTGGGTGGTTTCCTGAGGTTTGGCAAATGTTACGTTGCCTCCAGGTCTTGCTAATATGTTACTTGTGTGCATGGACGGTGCTGTTTTGGCCAAAGCACCAGGATTGGGACAAATTCATGGATGGGTTGGATGAGGACAGTGGCGGAGGAACCCTCTCTGGCACCCGGGGCGAGGCAAACTGCTCGGCGGCGCATGTGCAGCATCCGTACGGACTGTGCACGCTCTCTCCATCCCTTACCTGAGGCAGCCGGGAGCAGCAAACACAGGGCAGCCAAGCACAGCGGAAGGATCTTCATGGCTGCGTTAGGATGGGTTGAAGCAGCGAGGCTCGATGCACAACTAGAAACCAGAAGGTTGCCAGGGGACGGCTGGGCTTTCTGTAGTTGTAAGCTCCTGGAGAAGGTGCTTCTGGGCTCTCTTTTGCAATGTCCAGCAAGTCGTACCATGCTTTGAAGGAAGGTGGGGCTGTTGTTCCAGCTAGAAGCGCAATGTGCTCTCCAAAATGAGATGTAGGGATAAGAGGTTTAGGCCTGTGGCGAGACTGGGAGGATGTGAAGCCAGGAAAAAGCTGAGTTACTGAATACATCCTGGTCGATTCATGGATGATTTGCAATCAGTAGATAAGGACCTCTGACTCTCAGTTGTTCCACAGGGCAGCAAGACGTCACCATTCTCCCTGCTCTGCTGCTTCTTCAAGTCTAAATGTTATGCCTTCGATAAAGAAGGTAAGCTTTTATAGAGTTATGATTAAATACAACAAACTCTGCTTATAGAGATGGGAGACACAGAATCATACCAACAAACGAACGTGTTTGCATTAGGGGATGTCCTAAAGTAGAGGACCTTATGCATTATATCTTGCGCTGCCCCTTATATAATGAAGAGAAAGATTTTTAGCACCTATAATGACAAGGTCCCCTAGCCAGAACCCCCCTGACATGATTTTATATCTCCTCACAGACATAGATAAGTATGTGACCTGGCGTGTAGCACTCTTTGCAACTGCTGCCAGGAAAATTAGAGCAAATTATATAGCCAAGGTAGCCACCAACTGTAAAGGAGATGAATTTATTTAACCCTATCTACATCAAGCTATATTCTATCTTTATCACTAAACTCCAAATATAATTGCACATTGTATTAATTAACATTATTTTTTAATATATTAGTGGCCATGTGATAATTTTAGCTTATAAATTTTATTGTTTAATGTCTTAACTTGTATATTAAGGTACTTTTATAGCTCTTTTTAGAGTAGGTAATGTTTTGATGATATAAATGTTTTAAGTTTTTTTGTATCAATCCAGTATATTTTCTTTTAATTGTTGAATGATTCTGTGTACATTGCGGCAGCCTTTGGCTATGTGCAATAAAACTGACTGACTGACTGATAAAGAAGGTGGTTTTTTTTGGGAGGGGTAACCAGGAGACGATCTTTGTGTTGAGCTCCATTCAGTTCTGGTACTCAAAACAAATTCCTGGGCTTTGGCTATGTACATTAGTGGCTTGTGAAACATCGAGAGGGAAATGGAAGTGCCTGATCACCTCATCTGTCTCCTGAGAAATCTCTATGTGGGACAAGAAGTTAGAACTGGATATGGAACAACTGATTGGTTCAAAACGACAAGGCTGTATATTGTCTCCCTGCTTATTTAACTTACATGCAGAATTCATCATGCGAAAGGCTGGGCTGGATGAATCCCAAGCTGGAATTAAGATTGCCAGAAGAAATATCAACAATCATGTTTCAATTGGATGTACTGCCATTCTGTTTCACTGGTTAATCCGTACAAAAAAAGTCTTTGATTGTGTTATGTATTAAGATTAGCTGCAGTTCTCACTCAGAGCCACCAGTATGCAAATGAAGGATTGAGAACTGTCGCTCACTGATTGGTTAGCTAGTTGGGAGTTGTTACTGTTACAAGTCCCCTGACACAACCTTGATGGCAGAAAGTGAGGAGGAATTAAAGAACCTTTAATGAGGGTGAAAGAGGAGAACACAAAATATGGTCTGAAGCTCAACATAAAAAAAACTAAGATCATGGCCACTGGGCCCATCACCTCCTGGCAAATAGAAGGGGAAGAAATGGAGGCAGTGAGAGATTTTACTTTCTTGGGCTCCATGGTCACTGCAGATGGTGACAGCAGTCACGAAATTAAGAGACACCTGCTTCTTGGGAGAAAAGCGATGACAAACCTAGACAGCATCTTAAAAAGCAGAGACATCACCTTGCCGACAAAGGTCTGTATAGTTAAAGCTATGGTTTTCCCAGTAGTGATGTATGGAAGTGAGAGCTGGACCATAAAGGAGACTGATCGCCGAAGAACTGATGCTTTTGAATTCTGGTGCTGGAGGAGACTCTTGAGAGTCCCATGGACTCCAAGAAGATCAAACCTATCCATTCTGAAGGAAATCAGCCCTGAGTGCTCACTGGAAGGACAGATCGTGAAGCTGAGGCTCCAATACTTTGGACACCTCATGAGAAGAGAAAACTCCCTGGAAAAGATCCTGATGTTGGGAAAGATGGAGGGCACAAGGAGAAGGGGACGACAGAGGACGAGATGGTTGGACAGTGTTCTCAAAACTACCAGCACGAGTTTGACCAAATTGCAGGAGGCAGTGGAAGACAGGAGTGCCTGGTGTGCTTTGGTCCATGGGGCCATGAAGAGTCGGACACGACTAAATGACACAACAACAACAACAAAAACATCGAGATGGCTGTCCCTCATGCACAGACACCCCGTGTGTTGCATTTCAAGTCATATTCTTATGTTGCTCAACAGGCCTGAGAGGGTATGGGCACGTCTTTGCTGAATGCCCATTACCTGATTTGTTTCCCTGCACCAAGCTCCAATTTACTGAAGCTGTCACACAACCATAGGATTGTAGAGTTGGAAGGGACCATGAGGTTCAATGCAGCAATATGCAGCTGTCCATTACAGGGATCGAACCTACAACCTTGGCATTATCAGCACCAGTGGTGGGGTCACAGGGGCAGCTGCCTCAGGAGCGAACTTGTTGTTGTTTTTTTAAAAAAAGATATTTATTAGAGTTTAAATATTACAAAAAAAGAAAAAAGAAAAAAAGGAATACAAGCAATAAACAATTACAAAAACCCAAAAACATAAGGAAATACAATAATACAAAACATCAACAGTACATCAAAACATCAAAAAAGAAAAAAAACCCAGAAACATTTAAACAAAAAAGAAACACAAACCTTTTAAAAAAAATAGCAGGAAAAAAAGAAGAAAAAAGAACAAAGGATAAAAACCCGGTATTTTCATATCCTTATCTTTCATTTCCTTATTTCCTCGACTTCCTCACACCTCCTTTTTTGTATTCTAGTTCAATTGGTTGTTCCAGCAAGTTCTTTCCCTCTTTCTCAAATTTAGTTCCATAATTTATCTTAATGCAATTTAACCTTAAGTTTAACCTTTACCCATTATTGGTCTATTCATACTTAATTCTTTATAACATTTCAACTAAAGTCGTATAACTTCTTTCCGGCATCCTTCTAACATTCATTAATTTTACAATATTTCTGTAAATATACTTTAAATTTTTTCCAATCTTCTTCCACCGACTCTTCTCCCTGGTCTCGGATTCTGCCAGTCATTTCCGCCAGTTCCATGTAATCCATCAGCTTTATCTGCCATTCTTCCTTGGTAGGTAGATCTTGTGTCTTCCAGTGCTTTGCAATAAGTATTCTTGCTGCTGTTGTGGCGTACAAAATTCTGTCCTTCTTTGGCACCAATTGGCCTACCATGCCCAGGAGAAAGGCCTCTGGTTTCTTTAGAAAGGTGTATTTAAATACGTTTTTCATTTCATTATAAATCATCTCCCAGAATGCCTTAATCCTTGGGCATGTCCACCAAAGGTGAAAGAATGTACCTTCAGTTTCATTACATTTCCAACATTTATTATCGGGCAAATGATAAATTTTTGCAAGCTTGACTGGTGTTATGTACCACCTGTAAATCATTTTCATTAAATTCTCTTTTAAGGCATTACATGCCGTAAACTTCATGCCAGTGGTCCATAACTGTTCCCAGTCAGCCATCATGACATTATGTCCAACATCTTGTGCCCATTTAATCATAGCAGATTTCACCGTTTCATCTTGTGTATTCCATTTCAACAGCAAGTTATACATTCTTGACAAATTCTTAACTTTAGGGTCTAACAATTCTGTTTCCAATTTTGATTTTTCCACCTGGAAGCCTAATTTTTTTATCCAAATTATATGCCTCCATTATTTGATAATAGTGGAGCCAATCTCGTACTCTATTTTTTAGTTTTTCAAAACTCTGCAATTTTAATCTGTCTCCCTCTTGTTCCAGGATTTCCCAATACTTCGGCCATTTGGCCTCCATATTGAGTTTTTTCTGAGCCTTTGCTTCCATTGGTGACAGCCATCTTGGGGTTTTATTTTCTAACAAATCCTTATATCTTATCCAGACATTAAACAATGCTTTTCTTACCATATGGTTTTTGAACGCTTTGTGTGCTTTAACCTTATCATACCACAAATATGCATGCCAACCAAATACATTGTTGAAACCTTCCAAATCCAAAACATCCGTGTTTTCAAGAAGCATCCATTCTCTCAGCCAACAAAAAGCGGCTGATTCATAATAAATTTTTAAGTCTGGCAGGGCAAATCCACCTCTTTCTTTAGCATCAGTTAATATCTTAAATTTTATCTGAGGCTTCTTGCCCTGCCAGACAAATCTGGAAATATCTCTCTGCCACTTCTTGAAACAGTCCATTTTGTCCAAAATTTGCAATGTTTGAAACAAAAACAGCATTCTTGGCAATACATTCATTTTTATCACAGCAATTCGGCCTAGCAACGATAGCTTCAAATTTGACCATATTTCTAAATCTTTTTTCACTTCAGTCCAACATTTTTCATAATTATCCTTAAATAAATTCACATTCTTAGCAGTCATATTAACCCCTAAATATTTCACTTTCTTAACCAGTGTCAGTCTTGTCTCCTTCTGAAACTTTTCTCTCTCAATCTCATTTAAATTTTTCTCCAAAACTTTAGTTTTCATCTTATTCAACTTAAAACCTGCTACCTGACCAAATTCTTGAATCAGTTCTAGTACTCTTTTAGTACTTGATTCTGGCTCCTGTAAAGTCAATACTAAGTCATCTGCAAATGCTTTCAGTTTGTACTGTTTAGCTCCCACCTGTATGCCTTTAACCAATTGGTCCCTTCTAATCATATTTAGCAGAACCTCCAGGACCGAGATAAAAAGCAATGGAGAGACTGGGCAACCTTGTCGTGTTCCTTTCTCAATCTTAAATTCTTCCGTCACTACATTATTCACAATTAATTTAGCCTTTTGTTCTGAATAAATTGCACCTATACCATTTCCAAAACCTTTACCAACCCCCATCCCCAATAAATTCTTCTTCATAAAACTCCAAGAAATATTGTCAAAGGCTTTCTCCGCATCCACAAAAATCAGAACTGCTTTAGTATTAATCTTCACTTGTAGCTTTTCTAGAATATTAATTATATTCCTCGTATTATCAGACAAAGGCCTGCCCGGAGAAAGCCCGCTTGGTCTTTATGAATTTCTTCTGCTAACACCTTTTTTTTAATCTTTTAGCCAAAATATCTGCAAAAATTTTATAATCCACGTTAAGCAGTGATATGGGACGGTAGTTTTTAAGTTGCGTCTTTTCAGACTCTGATTTTGGTATAAGTGTAATGTATGCTTCTTTCCACGACTCAGGTGCCCTTTTCCCTTCCAATATTTCATTACAGACTTCCTTTAATGGTTGTATTAACCATTCTTTCAAAGTTCTGTAATATCTAGAAGTCAGTCCATCCGGTCCTGGAGATTTACCTAATTGCATATTCTGAATGGCCCCTTCTACTTCCTGATCCGTTATTTTGTAATCCAGCATTAATTAATTTTCTTGGGAAATTTTTTGTAGTCCATTTATTTCCAGGAATTTATCAATGTCCATTTCATTCTGCTTTTCTTGTGTGTATAATTGTTTGAAGTACCTCTGGAAGCACTTTCTAATTTCCACTGGATTCTGTATATTCTTTCCTTCCACTTCCAGATTCGTAATAGTATTTAATTTTTGCCTTTTTTCAATTGCCAAGCCAGCAATTTCCCACACTTATTTGCCGATTCAAATGTCTTTTGTCTCATCTGTTTAATCTTCCATTCTATTTCCTGATTCATCATTTTCATATATTGTACTTGGTATAGCTTTATTTCTTTTAAAATTTCCTGAGACTTTGGTTTCGCCCTCAGTTTCTTCTCTCCTTCCTTTATTTTTTCCAAAATTTTATCTTTTTCTCATTTTGCATTCTCTTCTTAATTGCGTTCTGTTGTAACAAGAAACCTCTCATCCCGGCTTTACTTGCATCCCAGATTACTCTTTTNCCACTGTAGTGTTCATGTTTATCTCAAAATAATCTTTCAAAGTTTTTTGGGCCTTTTTAATAAATTCATCATTCCTAAACAAAGAGTCGTTCATCCTCCATCTAAAGGAACCAGTTGGCATTAATTTCATTTCCATCTTCACAGCATTATGATCAGAGCTGGTCTTAGGGAAAATTTCAACCTTGCTAATCTTTGGAGCCAGTCCTCTAGTTACCCAGATTTGGTCAATTCTTGTCCATGTCATTTTAGCCTCGGAGAAAAAAGTTCCCTCTCTTTCCAGAGGATTCTTCACTCTCCAAATGTCAATTAAGTCCATGTTTTCAGTCATGTCAAAGAATGTTTTTGGTAGTCTTCCATCCTTAGTGATTATTTGTCTTTGCGCCTTATCCATGTTTGTGGATACAACACCATTCATGTCTCCCATCAAAATCATATTGTAATCCAAATAGTCCATCAAAATTTCATGTAGCTTTTAAAGAATTCCGATTTCCCTTCATTTGGCGCATAGATACCTATTACCAAAAACTTATCTCCTTGTGATTGGATTTCAATTGCTACAAGTCTTCCTTGTTCATCTTTAAAGATAAATTTAGGTGATAGGTTCTCCTTTGCATAAAGAACCACTCCTCTTTTTTTAACTTTGTCCGATGAGATAAATTCTTGGCCTAATTTTTTATTGCTCAATAATTTCCTGTGTAACCTTGTCACATGCGTTTCTTGTAGACAAATCAAGTCCAATTGCTCTTTTTTCAATAAATGAAACACTCTTCGCCTTTTTTCCGAAGTGTTGAGGCCATTCACATTCCAGCTCAAGGCCTGCAGCGCCATCCTGTGGCTACTTTGGTGCTCCCCCAACTGCCCCCAGAGCTTGCTCCACTTCTGTTGGTGGTAACGTTGGCTCCTTATCAGGGGGGTCCAGTCCAAAAGACAATGCTGAAATGTCCAAGGTATCTTTTTTTGTTGGTGCTCTCTCCCGTACTCTTTGCTCCAGTCTTCTGTCTGGTGACCCTCTTTCCGATGTTATTGGCTCTTTCCCAATTCCCTTCTGTAGGTCTTCTTCGTGGTTATACAGGAACTTTGTTTTATCCTCTACTGATCTTATCTTT